TTTAAGATGTGATATCATTATGTATGATTGTTATGTTAACTGCCTTGGTGGCCCTGATGAGAAAGGAAGAGTAAAATTTTGTAAACAAATAAAATCCATCCCAGCTGTCACATCTTGTCTACCCCTTACTGATATCTGCAAATGAACCTACCATTTGCTCGAAGAGAGGATGGAAAACCGATTCCTTTCACTCTAATTGGCTGTCTTTTTTATTCCCATTGATAACTCATCTTTTTCACCCTGACTGGTTACTTTTCTGTCATGATGCTTTCAAACTATTTTTTCCCTCTCAGTATACAGATCTTAGCTTGTCTTTTGTCTCCTTTATTCTCTATATTAGAGCCTGAGAGTCATGCCTACTTTGATTTTGCTACTCTAACTCTTCTCCCTATAATTATACCCCCCTTTTTAAAAAGCAGCAAGTGAATTCAGTACTTACCCTTTTCATGGTTCTTTTTTCACAGAGGTATAGTTATTACCAAATCAAAGACAAATCATACTGACAAGCTATATTTTTTATTTCTACCCAAAATCTCCACCTCAGTCTCATTTCTGTGCTGTTCAATGGCTGTTACTACTCAGGTGTCACAGTGGGTAGGCTGGCCCCCATTTTGTAGGCAGCTGAACACTAAAGCAGGTTGAGTCCAGTCAGTGGCACCTTTAAAACCAACAAACTTTTATTCAAGGAATAAGCTTTTGAGTGCAAGCATATTTCTTCAGATACAGCGAAACACAATTTCCTCAACCACTACACATATCTAACCCCCCATCCTCTCTCTACCTACATGTAATGGTTGAGGAAATTCTGTTTCACTATATCTAAAGGAGTGTGCTTGCACAAGAAAACTTATACCTTGAATACAACTTTGTTGGTCTTAAAGGTGCTACTGGACTCAAACTTTGTTCTTCTGCTTTAGACCAATATGGCTATCCGCCCGAAACTAAAGGGAGCTGTTGACATCTGATCTGAATTCCAAGGCATCCTGATCTTCCTGCTTTCAAGGATCCCTAATCACCTTCCTTTCCATCATTCCAGTAGCCTACCAGACCGACAACTCTCCCCCTTAATCCTTCTCAGTGGTCTGGTTCACCGAAAGTGGGGCGTTGTATTTGGAGTAACTATCCTCCTCCTTGTAGCTCCAATCTTATAAATCTTATAGCTAGACTATGGGTTTTGTATCTAAGTGTAAGGGTCATGTGAGTGAGTTAACTTAAACATATCTAAGAACATAAGGAATAGGAATACATATCAGAACAAGGCTACCAAACAAGAAAAGAACAAAAAACAAAGCACTAACTCAGTTTCTCTGGCTAATTATGTCACCTTTGCGTTTCTTTGTGAGAAATGGACACAGGACAGCTGGAATTTATAAACCAGAAGATGGCTGTTCCTGGCTCCTCTTGGATTGCACAGATTGCATGGAATGAGCTGAATCTAACGCCTTCCTCCCAACTGAGAGGGATTATGTTTGACCTATCCTGAAATAGGGGGAGGGGAATGAGTCCCACATTTCCTGCCAGCTGGCCTCTAACCAATGAGATTCATTGTGCTCCTCTGGCTTTTAGGGCTGCCCTGGTCAGGATATTCCTGGGTGTAAGACTTTCATTGCCTGGTTCACACTGAGGTTGTAAAATAGGCTCTCTCTCTCTCTCTCTGTGTGTGTGTGTGTGTGTGTGTGTGTGTGTGTGTGTGTGCTATTAAGGGGCATCCCACATAACACAAGGTCCATCTTTGGTAACAAAGATGAGGAGGAAGAAAAAGGACTTGGGCCAGGTACCATTACCATAAGATAGAAAATATATGGCATCGCATTTATGTCTAGGGCCTTAAAACACATCGACTCATGACAGAAAGGCTGCCATGGGGAAATACCAAAGGATATCAACCCTTTGATAAAGCCAAGGACATACCAAGCTTGATTCTTTAACATTCCCACTTGTATGCATTCTTGCAGCTTTCTATTTGATATTTACTGTTAGGGGATGCACATTTGCATGAATGTAGGTTATTAGCTCTAACAACATTCAATCCAAAGGATGGGGTGGGGCTGAGTCAGATTGTGCTATCCTCTTCCTATCTGATGTTCACACAGAGGTTTACACAGAAAGAATGAACCAGAAATCTGCACAGGGCTCTCCCGTCTTCTAGTTGTTTGAACCCAAGTCTTAGTGTGATGAAAGACTAACAATACAGTATAAAGTATTTCTCCCAGCTGTTGATGTGTTAGATACTCAAGGACTACTTTGCCACCCTCCTAAATCCCTTTCTCTTCCCCCTCCCTACATTGGAGTGAGTAGCTGGTTGGGAGCATCACAGCATAAGGTGCTGGGGGGGGGGGGGGGGGCTGGCTTTCAGGGGCACCAGAGTGGGTGGAGTGTCCCATGTCTTCTCCCTGATCCTGTGTAAGTTTTTTGACGCCTTCATATTCTCTGTAGTGGCCTCTCCACTCTTCCCCCTCCTCTTCTTCCCCCTCCTCCTCATTTTTAAAAAGGATGCAGTAATTAAAAAAAATTGCAGTAGTGAAAGACTAACAATACAGTAAATATATAAATAAATATTGTATTTTGGTCTCTAACACTTGTTCAGCGTCACATTTCCTCTGTTTTTAATAATTCTTCTGCATGAAATAAATTGACAGTTATTCATGACCTGCCATACTCCAAAAAGCTCATTCTTTAGTTAGTGCTTAAGCTGAAACTTGGATTTCTTCTTCCAACGCCATGACTCATGCTGTTCTAATCCTATCCTATGCAGCTCTTCTGAGTCACTGTGGCTGAGTTGGCTTCCTCCCCTTTTTTTCTCTTGATTTTCATGCTGTTCATTTATTTTTTTCTATTCATGTCATTATGATCTACCACCTCTACCCATCCTTTTTCTTCCTTATCTTGACTTGACTTCTTCGCTTTGCTTTTCTTGCTTTGTTTTTTCAATAAACATGAATGTTCAGAACACATCAGGAAATCAGATTACCACTGTGTTACTCAATCATTTTACACCATTTTGTCCTCACCTTTTCTTCACTCTTCAAGGTATGAGGTATGGCTCTCTTTACAATCCCAGTTTTAATGGCAGCATAGAAGCTGACAGAAAATCAAGTAAATAGTTTGTTTTTTTAAAGTGGTAGTACATCCAACGTAATTTTGAAAAGATATAAAAATGTACTGCCAGCATGTTTCAAGGCACTGATCGCAAACAGAACATAGGTCATATTTGTGTTATACCCTTTCTCCTTTTACCTAGTATAATTAAAATCACTATTAAGTTGGCATAAATTCAGTTTAAACTGAAATGGACAATAATGTTAGTGATTCATTTTAAGGGAAAGAAATCTGAAGAGGAATGGGCTTGAAGCTCTAGCTAACTGATTAATGTAGCATCTGAAATGAGGTTCACATATCTCTTGTCTTATGTCTGGGCCTAGACAGTTGCAATCTAGTATATTTTTCAACCTCCTAGCTCTGCAATGAAAGTAATACTTTCACCAGTCATCTACAGAAGAACTCAAGGCAAGAATAAAAGGCTCAAAAGAGATTAGCAGAAGCACAATATATTTGGGCACAGAGAGAAAACCCACAGGACTGTGGGCAATTGGCCTGGTAAAAAGAGATTAGAACACCAAGGCATGAAGTGTTTCAGTATTTATTGCTAGTCCAGGGCTCAAGATAAAGATTTAGATGGCAGAAGATCAAATAAAAACATTTTTTACAAGAAAGCGGGGGGGGGGAGGGGGAACCACCAAGGAACTAAGCTTCTTCAAAGACATTGATCAGCAGTGAGTAAGATGGCATGAGGGATCTCTTAACAAGATCTTGAGAAAGTTCATATATGAACAGCTATAATATTGTTAACACCACAAATTGCACTATGGGTAAGATGCAGTAATGATGGCAAGACTTTTGATAGTCCAGATAAACACAACTTCCTACAAAATCCAAATCAATTTATGTGAGCTTCAAAATTTTCAACAGCTGACGTATTATAGAGAAACAGAAGTAAAGCTAATGAAAATAATCTTAGTATTTTATTTTAAGAAAGACAAATAGGAAGGAAAAAAGGAGTGATTACAGGTGAAGCTTTCAATTTCAAAGTGGCAGGGAATCTACACCCTTTGAAACCCAGAGAAGCACTTGAGTCTCTCTGTTCACCCTACCCTGCTTTTGAAACAGCAGAAGGTATTTTGAAGGCTTGATGGAGTCATTACATTTAATAGGTCTCAAAATCCAACTGCATAAGATAAGACTACAGTGGAGAAAGGTATCCTGTGTTGACCACCTCCTCCCTTTACATTTCACGGTTCAAAAGAGTACTCCAGGCACTGTATAAAAATGGGAGTTTTGTATTTCTGAATTTAGCTAGAAGGTTTAGAAAGACCTTGTGTTCATCACTGGAAGAGACCTAAGTCAGTGTTATCATTTTGGAGGGCACAACACACAGGTCCTGCTTGTGTTATTCTATCTTCCCCCAACAACCCTTCCCCAGTCCCATTGCTGCTAAGCCTCTCTCTCCTCTTGTGCCTTCCCCTCAAGAGTATTCCACAGCTTTTATATCTCAAATCGCTTCTCTCCAGTTTCTCATACCACTCCTGTCAGACTATTTTGTCCCCCCTGCCATAACATTGCCTCTCCAGGTATATTGCTTCCTTCTGTAAGAAGAGATGGAACAAGGGGAATCATCATTATCACATCTGTACTACATAGGTCTTTTGAGTTAAGATTGGTATCCTATGCACACTTACAAAGGAACAGTCCCCACTGTGCACAACAGACTCTACTTTGGAATAAACATGCCTAGGACTGGGCTGTAAGCTCCTTCCCATATGGCTCAGTTTGGCAACCCCAGCATTTATCATGCAGCCACCTCTGTCACTTGTGAAATGTTTACGTCGTCATTAAAATAAAAACAGCCATAGAGAACTTTTGCTAAGCCTGAGGTAAAGTTTACCATAAGTAGTAAAACTGAGAAACAACAAACTACAATCAAAACTCTAAAAAGTTTCTACCTGAATTATTGATTCACAAAGTTGGGCTACAGATGTTCGACTCCCTTCATCTTCATCTAGAAGGAAAACCACAGTTGGGTGGTAGCAAGCACTCTCTTTGTTGTGAAGCATTCGCTTCCCTTCCTCAGAAAAGAGAATGGCCAGGAATTGCAAACAGGCCACATACAAGCCAGGGTGACCACCAGAATGATGCACACATTCACATACTGTATCTAAAAAGACCAAAAACATATCAATTTTATGCTGCAGTGCTTGCACAGGGCAATATAATACAGCTACATATTCAAGAATATTATGGTTGCATATAGAATTTTGGGCTATAATACATTGAGTTCGAGTATGACTTTGAAATGCTCTCTTTAGCCAGATTTAATTTGAATTTGGACACCTGACTGGCATTTCGCAGCTTTTCAATCAGCTACAGGGCTCCAACAGAAGCCGTTGATTACTGTTTGTATCTTGAACAGATTCAGCAGAGCAACGATTTGCCAAAAGCCACATCCCTCTGGAGGAAATCATAGGATTGTGAGGGTCAGTTACCCTGGAATGGATTCAGCAATATTTCTGCATGAAACATGCTTCAGATATTATGGAAAAAACAGTAATATTGTTAAACACAACCGTTTTGTGTAGTAAGCATAGTTCTGGACTTTGACAAGGGTGACTGTCAGTCACTACAGAAAAGCTTAGTTATCTGGAAGATTATTATCCAGAATGCTCAGTTAACTGGCCACATCCAGGTGGCAACCCCCCCCTCCACCATACAACTGTGTCTTTGGGCATGCAAGAACCCCACTCTAGCAGGCCATGTTGATGCCTGCAGCCATCGCTAGGCTTCTGAAAGCTGATGTCATGCTCGGGTGCCTGCCTTGACTGGCCAAGAGCCAGCTCTGCCAGAAGGCTTGCAGGCAGCTGGCCTGCTTTTCTGCCTGTTGAGCAGAATGGCTCCAAGAAGCTCAGGGGAAGGTCCCACCAGGCATAGCAGCTACTGCCATGTCAGTCCCAATGGGATGGGGCTTGGTCATTGCAGATTCTTCTGGATAGGAGGTACAGCAGAACACCAAGCTAGAGCATCTGGCACATTTGTTTAACCAGCAACCCTCTTTTCTCATAGGTGCTGGATAACAACTTCTTGTCTCAGTCTAATTTAACTCACGGAGTTGAAGATATAATGGAAAGAAGAATTATATTATGCTTCCCTGAACCTCATGGAGGCAGTGCAGGGTAGATAGGTAGTAAATAAATGTTAACTATTTATGTCTACAACTCCAGTATCAGTACCATGTCTCCATACCTGCTGGTAAAACTTTGAGAGAAAGTATTACCACATTGGTTTCAGTTAGAACCACATTCAAGTTTGCCCCCACATGATCCTTAATTTACGGGACAGGATGACAAAGGATTACATTTCCATGAATAAATGTTCTAAGGAAATGTGCTTGCTTGTAAGTCTGGGTTATCTTACTTTGGACAATGACTTACAGACATTTCTTTGGCCCATGAGCAGTTTTCTGTCACGTCTCACCACACAATGGGTTTAAGAAATTTTATCACAGAAAGTATCTTGATCAATCAATCACTTAATACTGCCTATTGGATCTTTCCCCTTTGACTCCAAGTAAGCAAAATTCACCAACAGTGACTATTACAAGGTGATTTGAGACTATTTTTAAATTAATAGTTTGCCATTTTGTGTTAGAAATCTGAAGATAAAGTCCTGAAGCAGTTTTTTAGTCTAACAAAGTATGATGCCCAGTCTAGACAATACACCCATCACATAGGATTTCTGTTCTCATCTGACATATTTATTCATTCATAAGAGTTATCACATGCACTTGGTGTGTTGAATTGGTAAGAAAAAAGTCTGGTAAAGGGCCAATATTAAACACCTAGTTGAAACTTATAATATACAAAAATACATGTATTTATTAGAAAGACACTGAAAAACAAATAAGGGCCCAATGAAAGCCTTGTTAAACAGCCAAGTGGCCTGAACACAAGGGCAATACACATGACCTGACGTGTTTCCGCCCTATTGGGGGCCTTCTTCAGAGGTCAAACATTTTGAAGTACACGTAACAATAATACATATTACAATAAGATAACCAATAAGTTCATACTGGACCAAGAAAAGGAAGGTTAAGCAGCAAGATCAATAGACACAAGACAAAGATGTTTGTGAGGCCTCTAAAGATGCAAGTCATGTGTCTGGTGCCAAATGCACAGCTGCTGAATTAGAACATCTTCCAATTTTGGTCCAAAAAGCACCTGTTAGAGCTAGAGTGTCCTCAAGCAAACAGCCCTTCCTTTGTTGAATTTGTAGCCTGCTGCCTCAGGAATCTACCTCAAGAATTATGAGATAGGGGAGGGTTTAATTATCAGGGGGAAAGTGTACTGCCTTTGTTTTATTAACAAAAAAGAGAGAATTCCTATAAAGAAGAAGAAGAAGAAGAAGAAGAAGAAGAAGAAGAAGAAGAAGAACTTGAGAGAACAGCTATGACAGAACTATGGCTTGCCCAAGGTCATACAGCAGCTGCAGGTGGAGGAGTGGGGAATGAAACCCGGTTCTCCCAGATTAGAGTCCATGCACTTAACCACTACACCAGTGGTAGAAGGGAGTGCCACCACTTTGAAGGACACAATAAGGTCACTGGCTACAGTAACGATTATTATGCAGAAGTAGAGATGCAAAACTTCCAAAATCAGCACAACACTTGTAGGAAATTCATTTTTGCCTGCATATAACTCAAATGTGGCTCTTGCATCTGATGTCACAAAATATGTGTGGTAAGCAGAAGAACCCTGTGTATAGTTCACCCTCACATTGTCTGATGTGCTGCCTTATAGGTTGAGCAGATGCAAACAGTGATGGGACTCCTGCACCTTTAAACAGTTGTTTAGAGGGAGTAGTTGTACAGAAGATTTTTCTACAGTTCCAGCTTTTCTCCCTTACGAACTAAATCCCACTGATCAACATGACTTTCAAAGGGATACAGGAGCCCTGGCCTTATTTGTATATGGTCATCCAGTGAAAAAGAAAAACTCAGGCAGTACCAGTCTATTAAAAATGCTGATAGTAACAGCATTGTTAAAATAGCTCTGAACACAACATTTTTTTAACAAATATGAAAGAACACAACTGAGCCATGACAAAAGGTGTCAAAGCAAACAAAAAAGTTACAAATCAGTCGGGCATCACTTGCCAATTGTACAAATGCTACATCCCTTTGAGCATTTAATACTAGGTGATTAGAACTCATTCTTGCTTCTTTAGATCTTGTAGCTACTAAGGCATTGAGGGGGGTGGAGGTGTTACCAATTACTGCAATCCAATGCTTTGCGAGTGCTGCAGTCACAGATGGGAGAGCAGTACGTCCACATTTTCTTAACAGCGTAGCCAGAAGGCTGAATATGTCTTCCCAGGCTTGGTGAACTGCAGCAGATAATTCACGCTCTGCCAATTAAGCACACAAATAAAGAAGTACACAGATCTCAATGTGGAAGCATCTTCATAACTTACAATTAAGTGAAATTAAATTACTTGCAACTAAATGAGAATGTGTCCATACAGCAAAGTGTTTCTAGTTTCATAACTTATAAGCCTGATTTAAGACAAAGACAAATGACTAATATTATAAACAAGCATTTTAAATTCAACTAAACATCAGAATGGAAGAACATGCATTAACTCCCTTTTAGCCAAATCTTTTTTTGTAGCAGAACTTAATATTTCAGGATGATGGCCATGAAACGAACAAGCATGAGGATTACCAGGAGAAGCAGAAATCAAAGAAGTGTAAAGAAATTATACATGTTGGCACTACAGCAAAGACGCAAGATCTTAAAAGACACACTGGAGAAATGACAGGAATAGGCTAACTGGAGCCCAATAAGGAAGAGGCTGTGGCTCAGGAGGGTAACATCAGCTTTGCATGCAGGCGGTCCCAGGTTTAAACCCCAGTATCTCCAGTTAAAAGGATCAGGTAATAGGTGATGTGAAAGACCTCTGAGGCATTAAAGGGCCAGTCCCAGTCAGTCAGAGTAAACAAGACTGGTGTTGCCAGATCAATATGACTCAGGATGTGGCAGCTTAACAAGTTTAAGACATGGCTGGACATGCCCACCCCACACAAAGAAGCTCCCCAGAAATAATTCAGAGTAATTAGAACAAATTCTTATAGTCCAAAGGATTCTTATCAAGAATGGGTCACCCCTCCCCTGCAAAGTGGTCCTTGTATGAAGTTGCTCTCAAACCTTTCATTGGATTACTTACCAAAAGCAACAGGGGTAGTTACTAGTGATATGTAGAAACAACTGGAGATGCTCAGGCTTTTACAAATTTTGCACACGTCTGCATTCTCAGGCCTGTAGCAACAGCAGTCTATACATGCTGTCCTCTGTCTCACTTTATTAAGTAGCTCAAAGTGGGCAGGGGCATCAAGAGAGCCCCCACTCATAGTCTGAGGGGCTGCACTAGAATCTCAGTTTTTTAGGCCCTGTCAAACATCACTACTGCTAGGATTTGGAAGCCTTGAAGGAGCTTGATCAACACTGACAGAATAAGTGAAGATCTGCAAACAAGATTATAGATTTAAATTATTTGGATGGGCAGGAAAAATAAAAACTGTGGAATCAATCAACTGACAGATTTCATGACCCAAGACCTGCAGCAATCTATCTTCTCCTTTTACCACAATAAAGTTACCTAAGCCATCCTTTGAGCGAATGGAAAGGACCATGAAGGTATTTGTTAAGAGAGGTGTCAATAATTTATCCTGCATCACAAGCTGAGTGTCTGTCAACAAGCATGACTGCAAGAGCTGGGACAATGATGAGATAAACTGCAGTAAAAATAAAACCTGTTGAAAGGACAAAAAAGATGGTTTAGACAACTGTAGTACATTTCTACAAAAATTAAACTACTTTAGTCATGCATTTCAGAAATGAAGTTAACATATCTGTCAGTCATAAAATGCATTTTAGAAAATGAACCTGATAACTGACATGCACAAATTCTTACTGCTGAACATTTGAAATCTACAGCAATAAATCGCTGTCGGACACTTTCAGGCTGCAATCCTATATGAAGTATTTGGAATTCTGGTCCACTGAATTGCAAGGAAATGTGCTGAATTTTCATTATGTTTGATTACAAACAAGAAAAAGAGGTTTTGAAGATGTCTATTGATTTTGGCATGTCCATTTGCACCCTTAATGTACAAGAACTTTTTCCTCCTTCATGTGATTCTAGCCAATCAGGGATCACACAGTGAATTTAATACTGTCATATTGTTGAGTACCTTCAAATCTGCTGTGACAATGGGGAGATCCTTCTTCATCTGCCTAATACCCAACTTCCTGAAAACAATTTCGGTGTGCTTTTTAAAGGTTTCAGTTTGTATAGTCTCAGTATGTTTTACTGTGAGACTTAATACTTATTAGGTATATGGATCCCAAGTTCTCAATCGTTTCGTATCTAAACAAATTTTAATTGACACATAATACTCTACATGTCACATTAAAAACTATTTTTAAAAAAAGATATCTATCCAGCTTAAAATAACAGATAGAAACTGATACGATACATTATTTATCTAGCTCACACTCTCTTTCACAAAACAATTTATACTGGAACATGAGATCAAAGGACCTTTGATACCACTGCTTTATATTCAGTTGTACTGTATAACTAAGTTATATAACAGCTACCTAAGGCTCTGAAATTTGCAGATTAAAATCACCCTCCAAATTATTGATGAAACCGAGATTTAATGCATACTGACATATGCAGGCATGCCAGCTCCCATTCCTCTATGCCAAATTTAATTTAAAAAGAAAAATGCCCTAAAGATGGCTCTCTTTTCCATTTTCTAAATCAAGCATTTAGTTTCTCTTTTATGGTTAACGTATTATGTCTTTCCTTCAAAAAGAACCACCACACACAGCATAAGCCAACACTTCTCAGTTTCCAATGCTTCTTACAATCCCAATTGTAAAACACCAAACTGGCAAGATGATTTAGTTCCAGTGGATTGTTGCCCTCCCCTCCTATTCAATCCAAATATTAATGACCATTCTGGGGTACCAGCATTGGTGAATCCTCATGCCCCTAGCTACCTGTCAGATTCCGATATCACTTTATGCAGATGATGTTATTCTTTTACAAAAGAACAACAAAAACACAAATGTCAAACAAGCATACTTGAATCACTAACCTGAATTTTTGTATACTCCATATGAAATGTCCAAGGAAGAGGCGATTTCATTTCCAAGATACATCTCTCTATCAAGCTTGAATTTACAAGGCTAATACAAATCCCACCCCAAAAAGACTCCATTAGATCAGCAGATATAGACATTTACTTGTACACAAACATGTCATAACGGAATCTAGGCTGGCTGAATGTTAAGACAGAAGCTCTACATACAGAAAGCATTGTTATTAAAAAAAAACAGTATTTCAGTCCAAACTTTGTTTCAAGTCATGGATTGCTGGAAGACAAGTGCAACCATCTCTTTTTCGCCACTGAATAAATGTGATATATGAGATTGGTCCTTCAGATCAGTGTAAATGTCTGACTGTATGGAAGAATGCATTCATGTGCAATTTATTTTCCTCCCCCTCCAAAAGTGGAGGGAACTACAGTCTCCTAACTCATACACATGGCAGAAAGGTACACTGCTCTTTTACCAGGCCAAAGTCACAAGTAGCATAAAGACTGGGGTGAAACATCTAAAGTAACCGTTGGTAGGAATGGAATTCTGACCATAAAATAGTGCAAGGAGAAATGGCTCCATACTCCTTCTACCCTCTCCATCTGCTTTGAACAAATTGTCAGTCCCCTTTCACTTCAGTATATTAAGTTAGTTTACAAAACTTATACGCGACCTTTCTGCCCTCATAAAGGCCACCAAGGAAGCGAACAAATTCAAACATACATTACAAAATCACATTTTAAAAATCATTAAAACCAACAAAACACACAATTAAAACAGATAAATCCAGAGCTAAAATACACACAAAAACATTAAAAAAACAAAGAAATTTCAGCGAGAAAGAAATAAAGCGGATGTTCCTGAAGCAACAACAGAAAGCAGAAGATAGACCTGAGAAAGTGGAGGAGAACAAAGACACAGAAGAAGAAGAGAAAGATGGGGAAGACTGTGATACCATCTCGAAGAGTCTGGCAAAACTCTTTGATCCTGAAGCAGAACTTGGGGCTGTTGCCCCTAAACCATTTAAAAACTAATCTGGACTTTGATAAGAGGAAAGGAAATTGCAAAACAGATTAATTTTGATAGCCTTATTTTTAACGCATAACTTTAATTCTATGATATTTACACTTTCGCTAAAGAGATTGTGATTGCTTGCTTGACACTTTTGCATTAGAATCTTCATGTTTTACTATTAAGATAATAGAGATGTATCAACAACCTTATATTTCTCTATTATAGATCCTTGTTACTCTTTATTTTAGGTTGTTCCATTACCTTGACCCTGTAGTTTTGTAGCTTAGAAAATAAAAAATTTAAAAGAAAAAAACATTTAAAAAATTAAAACACTGGGCAAGAGATCACTGAGGGAATGCCAAACAAAACAAAAAAGGGTTCCAAAGTTCTGGTGCCATAACTGAACAGGCCATCTCTCAGGTTACTACCTACTTAATCTCAGAAGGAGGGATCACTGAAAGCATGGCCTCTAAAGAGTGGTTGGGCAAGTTCATCAGGGGATAGGCAGTGCTTCATTTATGTTGGTCCCAGATTGTATATAGCTTTAAAGGTCAGCACCAGCACCTTGAATTGTGCCAGGAAACAGATAGGGAGCCAGTGTAGATGTGCCAAGACTGGAGTGATATGGTCCTTAAGACCCATCCAGCCAATATCCCAGCTGCAGCATTCTGTACCAACTGAAGTTTCCAAACACTTCTCATGGGCAGCCCCCACATATACCACTATATAAATCTAATGCAAAATGTAGCTATGCAGTATATTGCTTACGTGTGTAGCTTGGTTCTTATTTGCCATTTGGCAATTCCAGGGTATTACCTGATAAGACTTGCATTTAAAAGGAATAGACAGTAGAAGGGTGCCTTCACCATTCAGTTCAGGGTGAGTGTAAAATACGGCTAGCAGTGGTGAAATCTTGTGTTCTTGGTTGATAATAAAACCAGAAGTAGTTATGATTTATCCAGAAGGAAGACTAAGCATAGAAGCATTGCACCCACTTGCAGTCAACACTCGGTTGGGCTGGGGAACTTCCTAGATCACATTTTGACATAAGAACATGTTGGCTGGTGATTTTAATGCTTGGACTGGTACAACCTATGAAGAACTTTTCTTTAAAATTTTCAAAAATCAGTTGATAAGTAGCTTTTTCCTGGAGCCAAGAAGATTGAGAGATATTAAGATCACCGTGGTGGGAAGAGATTAGCCTCTCCAATTACTAACAATGAGCTCTCAATTGTTAATGGTTGCTCACCGGTCAACAGCAAGGGGGATTTTAGACTTATCAATCAGTGTGGCACCAGTGTCATTATTTTATAGTATCACCTATAGTTTGTTCAATCTGATTGACTTATTGGAGACAACAGAATATATGGGTGGTGATCATTTACCTTTGCAGTTAATATTAAATACCTCACAATAAAACTTTCTTCCATCTGCTATCCCTCTTCAGTTAAGCCAGAATCATAATAGACTTAGACCACTGCATTGGAACAATGGTATTATGAAGGAAGTCAACTGTTTAAACAGTCCTAAAGCCTGTCAATTTAAGGCTAAAACTTCCACTTGTTCTTCCCTGGAGAAGGACTTATTTGTAATGAGTGAACTGATAAAACTGTTTTAACCATTATATACATCTTATGGTCTGATCAAGGATCTGCAAGGCCTGGGCAAAAAGGATAATTGGTTTGATACTGATTGTAGGGCATTTAAAAGAGAAATTCGCTACATGCATCGGCAATTCAAATTATGCAATGACAGAAGTATACTCAAACTGATATTGTTGAAACGTGAATTTAGAATGCTTATTAAAAACAAAAAAGAGCTGCTTTTAGTTGTATCATGGCAATGTTTAATTTGGGCTTCCAAACAAAAACATTTTAAAATCTTTTGGCATATGACTGCAAATGAGCTAAATACTAGATCCTCACTTCCCTGTTATATCTCTGCTAATTGCTGGGAGGCACATTTCAAGGCCTTCTTTGTCACACCATCTGCTGAAAGTATCCTTGCCCAAATGGTCCTTCCTCCAAAGCTTCAGAAATAGCCCCCTTTTACAGTATTAGAAAATTAAATTTTAATATCTCAAATGAAATCTGGCAAGGCACCAGGACCTGACTTGATACCTGCAAAGTGGTTTAAAGCAAATGCCAACTGGCGGGGCAGAGATTCTGGCATTGATATTTACTCAAATCAATGAGACAGGAATTATGCCCACCTCTTGGCAACATGCAACAATAGTCCCTATCTATAAAAAAGGTGATCTAACAGACCCTGATGCTCGGAAAGATTGATGGTAAAAGAAGATGAGATGGTTAGACAGTGTTATTGATGCAACGGGCATGGAGTTGGGCAAGCTCTGGGGTGGAGGACAGGAGGGCCTGGTATGATGTGGTCCATAGGGTCACAAAGAGTCGGACTCAACTGTGTGACTGAACAACAACAAACTGACCCAAATAGTTATCGGCCCATAAGTTTGCTATCAGTGGTGGGGAAATTATATGCTTCTTTGCTATATGAGAAGTCACTTGTCTGGACTGAGGATGAAGCCAAACTGGGTCGAGAGCAAGTTGGATTCCGTATAAGAGTTAGTGCAGTTGACCTCTGCCATACTCTTCAATTTATTGTAGACAAATTTACCAACTCAAAAGATGGTATTTATGGATCTCAGAGCACTTCTGACTCAGTGCCTAGGCAAAGATTATGGGTCAAATTTAATAAATCATCTATTGATAACTGTCTCCTTTTTCTGATCCAACAGCTATATGATCAGCCTAAAGCCCAGGTGAGATGTGGCCCATCTGGTGAACTGACCAGGGCTATTCCATTGAGTAAAGGAGTCAAGCAAGGATGTATCCTTGCTCCATTGTTATTTAACTTATATCTCAATGATTTAAGTTCTCATATTTCTTGAGAAGAATTTCACTCACCTGGCCTGACTCATGTTAATTTACCCTTTTATATGCAGATGGATACTGCTCTTCTGTCAAGATCTGTGGTTAGCCTACGAAAGCTTATAGATTCGTTTTCGGAGTACTGTTCCAACAAGGGCTTAACTATTAATGTTATTAAGTCGAAGGTTATTATTCTCAGTAAAAAAAAACCCCGGGGGGTTAAAGAAGTACAAGTATTCAGTAGCAGATCAATCCATTTCAAATATCTAGGAGTTATTTTTTTTCAAATAAGCCTTTCTCGGAAGGTACACTTGAACTCTGTTTTAAGAGTTGCTATGAGTATTGGGAAGGCCATCTCAAGATTTTATTACTCATCTGATGGCCAATATGTTCCTGTGACAGTTAAAGTTTTTAATGCTAAAGTCTCCAGGCAGATGTTATATGCTGCCAGGGTTTGGATAAGAGCAGTAACAGACAATATCAACAGATCACTATTGAGATTCCTATATAATATTTTGGGAATACCTAGATATGTATCCGGATTAGCTCTGAGAGCCAAAGTTGGGGAGATGTACTTTGAAGCAAAGACCTGGGACACAGCATTCAATCTGAAAATCAGGATCCTAAAATCAAACCCAGAATCAAGCCTCCTTGGACTAGTCAAGTTGGACCATCACAAATGACTGGGACAGATTAGTGGATCATAAATTATCATGTTTGGGCATGATATGACAGAAACAATGAATAGACATCATCAGAAGATGTCTGAGGGACATTGATTATGAGAGTATGTGGATTAGAGCTCACAGAGCGCGTTCATCTTTTTCAGTAGGCATTTTTCATCCAACAAAAATGCCAAACTATCTATCTGAGCTAACTCTTCCAAAGTGTAAAAGGGCATTCATGCTTGCATGTCTGAAAGCCCTACCTTCAGAGGTGCTGCTAGGAAGATCCAATGGAATTTCATATTCAGATAAGACTCTGCAATTGTGGCAACAACAGAATTGATTCTGTGGATCATATTCTTTTTGACTGCCCCAAATTTTCAGATCAAAGAACTGCATTGATCTCTCCATTAGTTATAGAACTGGTACCCAGGAATGACTGCATCCCATAGATTTTCCCCATTCCACCATGTTTCTGAGATGCTTACAATATCTAAATTGTCACTGAACACCAAGCACTCCAGCTCCCCCATCTTGGTTCAGAGACTTCTAGTATTAGCAAATAGACACCTATGTTTCCCTCTCCAGCAACCCTCACCTCCCTTGTGTCATGCCTGCCCCTGCTGATGTCATGCCTGCCTTTGCTGATGCCCCTGAACAGGCTCCTGAGGACCCTGAACAGGCTCCTGAGGACAGTACTGCAGCAGAAAGGCAAAGACTGGATCCTGTAGCTGAAAGCTATCTAAGTGGTGAGGAGGATAGAGCCTCCCAGGGAACACCTGCAAGGGATCAGTCTCTGCTGCAGCCCAGTAATTCATCATCAGACTCGCCTCCACCTGTAACCAGGCTCAGGAATGTAAGAAGACAACAGCTGAGAGAGCAAAGGCAGAATGCACGCATGCGTGCCAGAAGATCTCTTAGCCCTCTAGCCCTGCATGGGGAACCGGCAGTACTTCTGAGAATGCTACCTTTGAGGTCCTGGCCTTTAACTTTCTGCCTAATAACCTAAATATTTCCTCCAGGACCACACAACTACATTTCCCAATGTCACTGAGCCAACATGCACCATGACTGCTGATTCCTCTCCAGTGCTATCAACCTTTTCTAGACAATGTGTATGTGATGTCCACAACATTTGCACCAGGCAGGCAAGTCACCATATGGTCAAAATGCCTGTCACAGACCCCATTCTCTATATTATATCAAATCATCCACTACCAGAAGCACACTTCCCTCCAGCCCCCCAGGGGTATCCTCAGTACAACAGGATATTGGTCTGTCACCCAAGGAAGGGGTCCCTTCTACAGGATCGCATCTCTCCTCCTTAGACTGACTCCTCCGACCTCAAGACTCTCACTCTCCACAACAGCAGGTACGGGACTATTCTGTTAAGTCCCTGAGGGTCTCTTCCCCAAACCCCTCTCTCTGCCTCAGCTTCTCCAGGTTGGCAACCCTAGCTCTAAGGGAACAAACCTGCTCCTTAAAAGCCACAAGCTCCATGCAGCGAGCAAACACCCATGATTTCCACCCAGTGGGTAGATACTTGTACATGTGGCACTCTCTGGAAAACAATGGATAGCCCCTGCTCCCCTGCTGGCTTTCTACCTTCATAATTGGTTAGTGGCTTAAAGGTATCTAGAGTGATGCAGCACCCTCAGGCCTGATACCCAGGCTAAGAACCACAGGCTAAGAGCCCTTTGATTCTTGCCATTTAGCTTGCACCAAGGGTTCATGCCTCTGCCTAGGAGGAGCCTTACAGTTCATAGGCCTGCAGCCCCTGCCTCCCAACAGCAGCAGCAAAAGGTGGGGCTGCAATCAGCTCCAGACAAACAGACCTTGCTCAATGAGTAACAGACCAGATAAAAATACCACTCTCCACCAATCAGCCTCCAACACTGTCTTCTCACAAAGCAACCTCAGTTAATGCTCCCCAGTAATTTAGCAGTTTAGGAAAGGCAAAAAACACAACAACAAAAGAAGAAGAGATTGGATTTATACTCCGCCCTTCACTCAGTGTCTCAGAGCAGCTTACAAACTCCTTTCCCTCCCCACAACAGACACCCTGTGAGGTAGATGGGGCTGAGAGAGCTCTGACAGAAACTGCTTTTTTACGAACATCTCTGATGGAACTATGGCTTGCCCAAGGTCATCCAGCAGCTGCAAGTGGAGGAGTGGCAAATCAAACCCGGTTCTCCCAGATTAGAGTCCGCACACTTAACTACTACACCAAACTGGCTCTCTCAAAACCACTCATATTCCCAGCAGCTCTTTCTTGGGTTCTTTCTCCCAGCCCAGCTGGCTCAGTTCTCCCTCTGCCTAGGAGTCTTGCAGTTCCTACTATACCACTATATTACAGCAGTTCTACCAGGATGCTTGGCTATTGTGTTAGTGGACAGAATCTTCTAATCTAGCAAGACATTTTTCCCTCTTGTATTTGTAGAACAATATAATATAACCACATTCCTAAGTCCATTATATAGTAAAAGCTTTTCTTTCACTACATACATACACACACAGAGAGACCTGAAAGGTTTGCATGAATGTAACTGCCAATTTATGCAAAATGTCACATTTTAAGACATTAGTCCAATCCATCTTAAGAAATTACGTGTTGTGGGACTGTTGCATAAACACATATCCTTTCCATGCACAAGCACTGGATTTGGTGTCTTGACATATACGTCTGCTTGATAGGCCCATATAAGAAACTAGCTACTTGTCACTTGTGAGAAACCCTAAACAGAACAAAGCAGCTTTACTGTTAGAGGTTCCAAATCAGTTCTCCTTTCTTGTAAAAACACACAGTGAGTCAGCTAGCCTAATTAAAAAATATATATCATTTTGAATTCTCATAACACTCAACAGTTGATCAATATCTGTAACAAAGCTTTGGGCAGCATTTGTCCTTTTCAGGCTGCTGTCTGCTTATAACCTCAGTAGTTATTGATCGCTTACCTACTGAGAGCAGTTAGTGTTTGTGCTTGCAGAAGAACAATCCCAGTGTCTTTTGGAGTGACAAGCAGCAGGTTATCCAGTAAGCCACACACAGCTGAAATAAGAGGGGGTGTGACCACAGCACACTGATTAGGTCTAATGGTGGACCGTGTGGAATCGTATGGACTTGAGGATGGTGTTGTGGTGGTGTCACTCTGCCCTAGAACACAAAGTTCAAAGAAGAAGCATTTTCAAAGTGTGCTTACTTTGAGATAAAGTACAAATTACATAAAGCAATGGAGTACATTCCAAACCTGGACATAACTAAAGAAGTCTGTCAGTTTCACTTGTTATATGAAACTTTATAAGAGCCATTGTACAGTCTACTTTCACAAAAATGTCAGCTGCTGTTGCCAGAGTGGAATTATTTTCCTTTGGGACAGAGAAAACAGGGTTGCACTTACCTGTAACTGATATTCATCGAGTTTTTCCTGTGCAGGCACGTATGGGACTGCATCTACGCAGGCCTGCTGTCAGAGAGGAACTTCTAGCTTCAAACCACTAGGGGACGCTGAACACTGGAGCTGAAGGCTGTTCCTGCCTGAACAGTCATGTGCTCCAGCACTGTTGCACCTCCTTCCCTCAGTTCCCCCTGAGCCACTGGAAGCCTGACCAACAAACAAGCTCACAGTGGGGCAGGAGGGAGGGAATTTTTGCCTGCACAGAAACCAGGTAACTCAGCAGTTTCAGGTGAAATCCCTTATCTGCACACCATGCCGAAAAGATCTCCCACTTGATACTATACAGCCTCCTAGTGGCAGGTTTATCTGCCTGCAACAGAATATCTTGCAAAGCTGGGGATAAAATTAGCACCTTCCCTGTATCCTCCACCTGTGAGATACAACCGGGCCATGTCATGATGTAACACCGGCCCCACACTGATTAGGTTTGGGTTGCTTGGGAACCTGATCCAATTGCCTTGCAAAAGCTCTGTCAGAGTGGAGGACCAAATCTGTCAGGGCCAGAACGGGGCTATAAATATGCAGTCTGTGCCATCCATTGCATTCTTCCCTAACACCCTGGAGATCAGTGGGATGGGGTGGAGCATACAAAAGCGTTCCTTGCCAAAAAATCTTGGACGCATCCCCAAAGGACCGTGTGTTGGCACCCGCCAAGGAATGAAAGCTTGGGGCTTTGGTGTTGTACTGGGTAGTGAAAAGGCTGATAGTGGGTGAACCCCACTGGGCAAAAAAAAAAAGGGTCCAAATGGACATCCTTGAGGGACCACTCATGGCTAGCAGATCCAGTACAGCTCAGAGAGTCTGCCTCAATGTTCTGTTCCTGCTATATGAAACTCCTTTAAATTGGTACAAATAGCTACTGCCCAGCTCCAGATTAGTTCAGCCTTGTAACAGAGTTGTCTGGAAACTGTGCCACCCTGTTTGTTTATGTAATACATTGGTGTTGTGTTGTCTGTTTGAGTAAGAGTAGAGTGACCTTGCAGGATATCTGAAAAACAAGTGAGGGTGCTTCTAACAGTACAATACAGTACAATACCTTGATTGGCATATAAGACAATAAATAAGTTACTTCACCAGGTATCATTATACCTGCCTTCTTAAAACACGTCAATATTTTTTTAAAACTCCATTCTGCCAAAATCTTAGTCCAGAATTCAGCAATCTGTGCAGTAACTTTGGGTGACTCATCAGCTAAAAGGTACCTAATTGCATTTTCAGAGTTAATCCTAGACAGTATGGGCTTAATCCAAAGTGATCGAAGATGTGAGTGGAGGGGACAGCATAATAAGATGTGATCTAAGGTATCAGGTTCTCCAGATGAGCAATTACAAATTCTATCACATTTCGGGATACCTCTGTATCTACCTGAAATGCAAGATGAGGGGAAAACATTAAATCTGGCTAGCATAAAGGCTCTGCATTCCAGCGGGATCACCAAGTTAGAGAAGTATCGTGCCATACTATTTGGTACATATCTGAGGCCGAGGGAAAGGGACTTGGTCCTTAAGGGACTTTTCAATTAACAACTTTACTGCCTACTCATTACCAGCTTGGAAACTGAATTTGAAGGGTCGACCTAGGGCAGGTCCCTGCGGCTTGTTCAAAGATTCAACGAATTTTACTGTTCTACAATTGGATAATTGCTCACCATTGGCCCAAGCCTTTTTATGTGTCTTTTAAAGAATTTCAGTTTCTATTGATTAATGTTTATGTTCCACCCTTGGTTGTTGATAACTCTACTTTAGGCCATTGGAGTATGCTAAAGGAGTTCCTAAGCAAGATAGTTGCAAAACACCCCAGGGTGATGTTATTACTTTTAGGGGATTTTAGCGCAAGAATCGGTTCCAGTAATGAACAATCAAGTGTTTTACTGAGTTGGGAAGACTTAGACTCTACTCCACTACCTCCAAAGATTCTACTGTTAATCTGGCAGGTCACCTGCTAGTAGATCTATGTACTAACTGAATCTCGGTGTCTTGAATGGATCCCCCCATCTAGACCCTAATGTAGCCTTTACATTTGCCTCTTCTCAAGGATGGTGGACCTCATGATGGCACTGGTATTTCTGGCCACTGTGTGCTACAGAGTGTTGGACTGGATGGGCCTTTGGCCTGTTCTTATGTTATGTTCTTAAGGATGTAGTGTGGTAGACTATGCTATTTCTTCCCTTGAGCTGAGAGACTGTATTACCAGATTTTGCATTAATGACCGCACTGACCATCTCCCAATCTCATTGACCCTTGAATTAGGCTCCAGAATCGAAAGCAGGCCTCACTTGCCATGCATCAATTCTGATGAGATACAATATAAAAAATTAAGATGGCCTCCTTCTTCCTCTACTTCAAATTTATACTGGCTAAACTGCGGTGGTTCAAGTGGTTAAGATGCTGAACTGCAGGCTGTGGAAGGTCAGTAGTTCAGCAGTTCGAGACCCAGGTGCTGCATGATGGAGTGAGCTCCCATCTCTAGTTCCAGCTCCTGCCAACCTAGCAGTTCAAAAGCAAGAAATTGCAAGTAGATTGGTGTTTAGTCATGCTGGCCACATGACCACGGAAACGTCTTCGGACAGCGCTGGCTCTTCAGCTTTGATGAGCACCGCAACCCTAGTCTCGGATTCGACTGGCTTTCGAGCAAGGGAACCTTTACCTTTACCTTAAACTCTGAGACTGGGAAACAAACTATGCTTCTAACTGTATGTAGTTCCATTGGGATAGCTGTGTCCTGCAACAGGCCAAATGGTAGGCCGTGCCTCAAATCGTCATTGTGTGCCTGTTGCCATGCAGCCACTTCAGATGGCATTATTAAAGACTCTTTAATATGACTGCCTTGCTGGACTGTGAACATTGTGTGCCAGGGAAATGGACAGAACTATAGCCCTAGTGAAGTGCCCGATGCTGGACTATGAAATGTACATTATAGCCAAGGGGAGCCTTGAACCTAAGTAATATGCCAAGCCAGATGTGGATCCAGGACTACAGAAGCCTTCTGCCACTGAACTCCTGCATCCACCCCAAGCATGAGAATGCAGACCAGCAGCCCTGTCCTCCATGCACGCAGAGACAGCAGCAGATCAGAAAAGAAGCCATGCTCTGGTAAAGGACAGATGTTCCTGAACAGAAGCCATGAGGGAACCTTCCCTCCATCACGCATCATCCCCCCCCCATGTGTTTTCACCTGGAAAATCACACATTCCTCTCCTTCCTGAAACTGCCTCAAACAAAAGTATGTGCCCAACTGCAAACAATAGCAACAATCCAGCCTTCCGGTCACCGATCCAGATAATGCTGCTGTCAAGTATTTGATTGTTAATACGAAGCACTGGCCCTGCAATGTGATTGGTTCTATTCATTCTCTCCTTTGCCCCACCCCCTTCCCCCAGAGGGCTCACTCCCTGCCGACCATTTATTCTCAATTGCCCAACTATTAATTCCTTTATGTCCCATCCAGAACTTAAGTTTTTTCTTAGTACTTGCTGGGAATCAGGTGACCACATGAGACTTTTGTCTCAGGTCACATTTTAGGTATTTAAGGAGAGTTCTCCCTGAGTTCACTCTCTTGCCTCTCGCTTCTTCCTCTCCTAACCCCACCCTACCTTGTTGGTTCCATTCTCAGCCAGTTTGGAATCAGTCCATGTGTATTGCTGATCAACTCATGATCCCTTCCCCCTTAATGTGTTTTATTTTTCGTTGCATGATCCTAGCATCTAATCGGACAGGTAAAGTATCACCCCTCAACGACATTTTCTGCTCATGCAAACACTGCTATCTTTTCAACTCTGTATTCCTGTATGGTGTGTGTGAATGTTTGATTATTGATTGTACGCTTGAAGAACATTTAGTAAAGAAATCATTATTTAGCAACACTGTCTCTGCCTCTATTCACGGGCTCTGGGAATTCTGACTCCCGTATACACAGGTTATGATGCCATATTTTATGCGTATTGCCATTTAATAATCATAATTCCCCAAGCTTATTAACAATATAAGGCAATTTGGCTAACATGCCCATCATTCAAGGTACCTAAGGACCCATCTGGGAACAGAAAACCTTTTATGCTATGAGTGGTAAGAGGGTTTGAACTGTGCCAAGAATCACAACAGAAGCAGGGACATGTGCAGCCTAGCCATGGGAAGAATGGCTGTAGTTGAGACCATAAGTCCTAACTATTTCTATAGAGGTAGCTTTCTGAAACCTACACCTGTTGAAAGACACAATCATTCCCTATGTGGCCCAAATTCTTTTTGTGGGGAGGAACTCCCTTGTAGCCACTGAATCTAGTACTGTCCCAATAAAGTGGACCACTTTGGCAGGGGTCAATTAGGACTTTTTTCCAATTTACAACTAAGCCAAGGTTCTCACAGGTCTGAAAGATTAGACTAAGGTGGGTAAGTAACTCATCCTTACATGAAGCTACCAGTAACCAATTGTCAAGTAGGGCGCAAGTATGTGACCACAGGCGCTATGCACTTGGTAAAAACTCTAGGGGCTGTAGCAAACCCAAAGGGCAGCACCCAGTACTGGTAGACTTGACCTTTGTAATGAAAACGTAAAAACCTACAATACTGTTCATTAATAGATACTTGAAAGCAGGCATCCTTGAGATCAAGAACTCTGAACCATAAACATTATTTTAATAACAGTAGAACAGATACTAAAGACACCATTTGGAACTTTGTAACTGATAACGTTTCAGCCTACACCCCCTGTCCTTTTCATCCACGAGGAAAAAACAGGAATAGAAGTCCTTTGGGGAATCTGGATTCTGAACTGGTTTGATTGCCCCCTTTTCTAAAAGGGCAACTAATTCCTCTTCTAATTCTAGTAAGGAATTATCTAGAGTGGTATCGGCCACCTGGCATTTGTTGTTGTTCAGTCGCACAGTCGAGTCCGACTCTTCGCGACCCCATGGACGAGCTCTCTCCAGGCCTTCCGGTCTTCTGCCGTCCTCTGAAGTTGGCTCAACTTCATGTTCGTTGCATCGATGACACTGTCTAACCATCTCATCCTTTGCCGTCCCCGTCTTCTTTGACCTTCAATCTTTCCAAGCATCAGGGTCTTCTCCAGTGAGTGCTCCCTTCTCATTTGGTGGCCAAAGTATTTGAGCTTCAGTTTCATTATCTGGCCTTCCAGGGAACAGTCAGGGTTGATTTCTTTGAGGATTGACTGATTTGTTCTTCTTGCAGTCCAAGGGACTCTCAAGAGTCTCCTCCAGCACCATAGTTCAAAAGAATCTATTCTTCGGCGCTCGGCCTTCCTTATAGTCCAACTCTCAAGGGCCTTTGAAAAGCAGGTCTTCGACCCTCTGTCTGGTCTCCACTGGTAAAGCTGTCAATCGCTAACAGGCATGCCTCCTAACTACCAGTAATGTAGCCATAGACTTAGCTGCAGCGTCCGCTCTATGTCTGTCCGCACTGATCTGTTGCCTAGACAGACTGATCGCTTTGGTCTGAAGGAGTTTGGCCAATCCTCTTCTATCTTTGGGAATCAGCTCTAAGTATGAGGTAAGTTTTTCCCAAAGGTAGAGCTGATAGCCTGCCATTATTGCCTGGTAATTTGACACACACACAGATCTAAAGCCAATGATGAGTAAATCTTCCTCCCCAGCGCATGGATTTTCCTGCCCTCTATCTGTTGGGGCTGCATAATAAGCATGGCAACCTCTAGGCTGCATCTCCTTAGTAATAAGTGAGGATGGTGGACAATGTGTGGACAAGGGAGCAGTGTCCTTCCTAACCATATACCAGGATGTTGCTGGGATGGAAGCTGGTTTGTGCCACAATTCCTGGATATTTTCCAGAAGGCTTTCCAACACTGGAAACCTCACTCCTGGAGAGGTGGAATACAACTGGCCCAGGATCTTGCCCTTTGGAAGGTGATCTGACACGGCCACCTTCTAATCTAATGATTGTGCCATTCTCAGCATTTGCTCACTGTACATTTTTAGATTTTTGGTGGGAGAAACAGATGTCAATTCCCCCACCCTTGCATCAGTACTCAGTTTTAATGTCACACTGGATCCAGCCTCGGACCCTTGGACCACTTCCTCCACTTTTACTTCTGACCGGAACTGTGGATGGGGGCCTTTTCGACACTGTGGCTGATGGAACAGACTTCTGGGCAGGAAACTGGTTGGTATGCCCTGGGGCTGATTTCGATGCCGGTCCATAACAATCTCCCCACTCAGCCAAGTAAGCTGGGGACATAAAGAATGGGCAAGGAGGCCACAGAACCGACAAACCCACCTCAGAACTGGCTGGTGGCAGAACTGATGGTGTCTCTAGTTCAGGCTGTAATTCACCTTCAAAGAAGAACAAGGGAGGTGACTTTGCATGTGGAAGGTGTTTTTGGTGGATGCAAAATCTCCTGGATAATGTATGAATGGCAGTGATGGTACTGGGGCTGGACAGTGCTGCTTCAGTTCTGAATACTGATCTTAATGCTTTGACCAAGACTTCAACCATTTAGATGGCAGTTCTGAGGAACTTCTTGGAACTGATGAAGGCGGCGAGCGGAACTATGGAACTAGGGAAGGAGGTACAGCAGTCCTGGAGCACGTGACCTTTGGGTGGGAATGGCCTTTGACTCCAGCACACAGCACCCCCTAATGATTTTAAGCTAGAAGTTCTTCTCCAACAGCAGGCCTGCACAGATGCAGTCCCATGAGTGCCTGTACGGAAGGCCAAAGATAAACATGCAGATTAGATGTAGGGAGTGGTACACTAGACAAGATGTTTGGGTAACAGAAATGGCCAAAACAGGAAGAAAGTAGAAGTTTAGGGTACAATTTGTGACAATGTTAATGCTGAAAGGTGCACTAAAAACTTTCAAAGCACATAACAAGACTTTGTTATTCTCCCCAGCCTCCCCCCAATCACAGAGCTTTAAAAGCAGGCTACAATGTGGCAAGGAAAAATGTCCAATAAATCCAAGGGAAGTGCTTTATATGCCTAGTATATTTTAAGGAATGAAGCTTTTTTTAATTTGAAAGGACAGAAAGGTGTTTAAGGAGGCTAAAAATAGGATGTCATAGGTTGTATTACCATACAACCATTTGCTTTTATTCCTATTTTTTTATTATTGGGTATTCAATAGCTCTGTTTGCAAAGTATTCAGTTCATTTCTCCACTGTGCCTGTAATTCCTTTTTATTCTTCATTTTAGTTTTTCATCACCGATTTATTTTTATTTTCAATAAACCACTTAATTCCTTCTAGTTAAGCCACTGTGTTAAGGACTGTACTTTAAAAGCTCATAAGTGCTGTGTAAACATGTAAAGGACTGTGAAGGGTTAATGCCTCACAGAGCCAGAGACCCTTCAGTGACAGGCTGCTCCAAGGGATTTGATTGGTTAGTGTCTGATTGGTTAGCTCTGACTGAGGATTGGGAAGGTTGGCAAGGAGGAGAGGGTGGATCAGTGGAGAGGGTGGATCAGGGGAGAGCCAGTTTGGTGTAGTGGTTAAGTGCACGGACTCTAATCTGGGAGAACCGGGTTTGATTCCCCACTCCTCCACTTGCACCTGGCTAGATGACCTTGGGCAAGCCATAGTTCTGATAAGAGCTGTTCTTGAAAAAGAGCAGTTTCTGTCAAGAGCTCTCTCAGCCCCACCTACCTCACAGGGTGTCTGTTGTGGGGAGGGGAAGGGAAAGGAGTTTGTAAGCCGCTCTGAGACTCCCTTGGGTAGTGAAGGGTGGGGTATAAATTCAATCTCTTCTTCTTCAGTGAAGACCCCCCACCCAATGCGGGCCAGGAAAAGGGATAGATCTTCTAGTCAGAGTTGAAAGGAACTGCCCAGTTGAAAGGAAGATAGCTTTAAAGAGTGGAGTGCTCCCTGGTGTGCTCAGAGAAGGTATCTGGATGCTTGTTAGTATATTCCCGCCTTCTGAAACTTGTGAAAATATTAAGTTACCTCAGAGTTCTTACTGATTTACCTCAGACATTTTACTCCTGATTTCACCTGACCTTTTCCCCTTTGTGTTGAATAAAATATTTTTTTAAATTTTTGAATGCTATAAAGCCTCCCACGTGCCATTTTCAGAAGTTTAAATTAAAGAGGTGACCTTGTCTCTTCCCTCAAGTTTCTGCACTGACCCAGCAGCAAAATACAATTAAGTGACAGGGTGGGACAGCCATATATCTTCAGATAAGGAAATAAACCAAATATATAAAGGGGCTGCTCAGTCAGAAGGGGAAAAAAAAAACCAGAGGGAAAATCCTACATCTAATTGAGGGAAGGGGGTTAAGGTCATCATACATGGTGTCTGTCTTCCTTATCTGCACAGCGTCTACCTACTGGTACAATGTAAGAACCTTGTTTTCAAAGCATGGGGTTTCTATTAGGCAGGTTTTGTTTTTGTTTTTTAAAAAAGAGGTGCCGGAACTCTCAAGAGGAAAATGAAGTTTTCAATCTGTATACTGAAAACTCATGAACTCTTAAACATTTTAAAAAGAATTTTGCTGAAGAGATTCTGGAACACTGTTCCAGTGCATTCCCGCAGAAAAAAAGCCCTGTGTTAGGAATGAATGAGGGTAGCAGGCAAACTTCATTGTAGAAACCCTGAAACATGTGCAAGAGGATTTTTGGATCACAGCCATAATCAACAATTTCTTCCAAATTAATACGTTTATACATGCTCTTAAGATCACCTTACCTTGAGCCATGAGCCGATTAACAGGCACTTCATGGATAACACTGGCAGGGGGAGAGGTGGATGTTTGTAATTCCACAGCATTCTCCAGAGATAGTGCTGGTGAAATGATCTAGGAATGAGAACCAAGAAAAGTAATTCCAATCTCTTCTATTGACATATTATGTCTTTATCAGCTATTTCTATTGGCTGCTATCAAAGGACCTTGTGCTTGGGCAGAGAGCATTTGTGCATGTACATATGAAGCACATCACTGATTAACCCTTTTCAATTGCATCTTCATAATCAATTCCTGGCCATCAGCAGCAGCTTTTTGGGGAAAAGGGGACATATGGATAAGATCAGATACACCGATGCGTGCATATACCATACAAAGCCTCAAAGGGTTCCACCTAGATGAAGATAATGGGCAGCTCCAAGTAGGAACCATAGCCTTTACATAAGCCTTGACAGTGAGACCATATGTGTAGCTGGTGAACATATTCTAAAACAGAATATATACAACTCATTAACAAGGTCACAGTGATTAGACCTAGTAAACCAAGAAAAAAATGTTCATTTTAGCACACAGGACTCAGCAGTTCAAGAATTCCTGGTGTTAAGCAGGATGTTATGAGTTCTTACAGAAGACCCTATGAGAAGTGAACCATCCAAGCTGTTAGGATAAATGTTGTAATGCTGGAATGAAGGATGCTGCCTCAATCCTGTCTTAAGGTACTTGAGAAAGAAAAGTAGCTTCCCTGCATGAAGTGCAGTAGGAATTTGGGAAAGAGAAGCAGTTTCCCAGCATGAGGTACAGTAGTCTGATCAGCCATTACTTTACTTCATAATATCCAGTGACAACGGTGGAAAGATATATGCAGATGAGCATGCTACTCAGACTCATATCCAGAGAGGAGGGCTTTTGGCATACTACGATTCAAGGGCAGTATTCTACTATGAGCATATAAGTACAATAGAGGCAAGGCTGCAGAAGACAGGATTGAGGTTGTTGCGAATACAAGTGGCAACATCTTTAAAATAAGCTGATATGAAAGTTGGCAGACAAAGCTGAAGATCCTATATGCCTGTTTTAAGAATAGTTGTCAACTACATGCTACTCCTATAGACAGTAGCACTTGTGCCTATCTTTAGAGGGGTGTTATTTGCCAACATTATTTTTTTGGAAAAAGAAGCTCAGTGTACCTTAGGTAACAGGGCAATAAGAGGGGGGAAAACCAACCTAATTCAAGGGGGGGGGGAGTCAAGACAGATGTAACAGACTGAAAACATGCTGTGGTCAAGAGAGAATTAAGTGGGTGGGTGTCTGCCAACAGCACAAGGCATGCATACAAGAACAACTCTCTCTCCTTGAGGTTAGAGTCACTATCAGTAACTATTAAAACTTAGTTTCAGAACGTTCTTAAACACTGTAATGAGTCACTTGTAAACTGTTGAGTCCAGGCCCATAGCTATGATGGGGCTATTTGGGGCTCCGCCCTCTTTTTTAAAGGGACAGCCCCACAAGATTTTCCCTTGGAAACCCTTTTTAAAGACATTTTAAAACATTTTTTTAAAGGTGCATGCTCCCATGGCAAGCTGCATGCCTATAACAGAGCTGAGAAGTCCTGCCAAGAGAAGAAGCCAGGACTACCCTCTGCCCTCCCCGGCTTTTCAGTTCCCATGCCTGACCTTTCCCCCCCTTCTTTGAAGCTGGGTGGCACGGCTTGGCTGTGACTCACAGCCTGTGAGCTGATCTGAGATTCGAAGGCGACCTGAGAGCAACCCTGCCCCCCGGCCCGGCAATTCAAAAGTTCCCAATATCCTTTTTTTCTTTGAAGATTTTTTAAAAAGATGTGTATGGCCGGCACACCTTTCTGCCCCTCTGTGCACCGGCATGGAGAGCCTTGCCGAAGACGCTGCGAAGGAAGGACGCAAGGAGGGCAGGGCCAGAGTCGGCGCCAGCCTTCTCCAGCTTCCATTGGAGCATTCTCTCTCTCTTTTTTTTACAAAAGCAAAACAGCCCAGTCTCTCCTATTTCCTGTTTTGCAAAGGAGAGAAAGAAAGCCTAGCTTCCCTTCCCTCAATTGGCTGAGGGCTCCTATCCCTCCTCCGGGCAGT